CAAGCTGCTCCACAGGAGAAAAGGCCTGGTGATCTGCTCCCATAAAGACTGTTGTTGCTAGATGCCATCAAGTCGATTCCGACTCACAGCAATCATATATATAACAGAACAAAACACTGCCAGGTCCTGTGTCATCCTCACAATTGTTGCTATGTTTGAGTCCATTGTTGTAGCCACTGTGTCAATCCATCTTGCTGAGGGTCTTCCTCTTTTTCGCTGATGGTCTACTTAACCAAACATAGTGACCTTCTCCAGGAACTGGTTCCCCCTGATTACATGTCCAAACTACATGAGACGAAGTCTCACAATCCTAGCTTCTAAGGAGCATTCTGGCTGTACTTCTTCCAAGACAGATTTGTTTGTTCTTCTGGCAGTCCATGGTATATTCAATATTCTTCACCAACAGCATAATTCAAAGGCATCAGTTCTTCCTCAGTCTTCTTTATTCATTTTCCAGCTTTCACATGCATATCCTAGGAAACCCTATGGGCAGGTCTACTCTGTCATATAGTGTCGCTACAATCGGGATCGACTCCACGGCACACAACAACAACACAACGCACAGTGTATAAAATTGTCAGAACGCCTTGAAGGACATTGAAGATCTGTGCATTTGAATGTTAACTACACCTCAATTCAAAAAATACAAGTAGCCCTCTGCTTTAAGACATAGGTTACTGACTTCATTTCAAATGAATTTCTAGAACATCACACATGCATTTTCAATTAATTTGCTACTTTGGATTATGCACACTTCTATTCTTTCACTACTGTAAATAACCTAATGGATTACAGACGCACAGATACAAGAATCTAAAACCAAAAAACCCACTGCGAACCCAAGGTTGAGTAAGGGTATTGTTGATGTGTCGTGAGATTGTTAACCATTGTCATAGGGCAACACGTGTAGTAACTGTTAAATGAGAAACTATTTTGTTCTGTAAGCCTTCATGTTAAGTGAGAATAGCAGCACAATTGGAAGAGCGCAGTCAATGTCACTGAACTGTGCATGTAGACATTTTTGAAATGGTGTATCTTTGGCTATGTGTATTTTCACCAAAAAAAAAGGTTGAGAAGTTAGAGGGTTGACATGTTGTGGGGCTGTTAACCAATATCATAAAACAATATGTGTACTACTGTTTCATGAGGTACTATTCGTTCTGTAAGCCTTCACCTGAAATACAATTAAAAAAAAAACAAACAAAAAACCTACTGCTGTTGAGTGGCTTCCGACTCATAGCAACCCTATAGGACAAAGTGGAGCTGCCCTAGGGTTTCCAAGGAGTGGCTGGTGGATTCAAACTGCCAAAATTATGGTTAGCAGCCAAGCTCTTAACCACCACGCCACCAGGGCTCCAAAATGATATAGGAAACAGAAAATTCTATTGGACCTCTAACAGTCTGTTAGGTATGTACTGAAATTGTGAAGAATCAAATTTAAATTGCTATTTATGAAAAATTAATTATATGAACATCTATTCTTTTTTTATCTTTTTTTTTAATTTTTTATTTTTTTATTGTACTTCAGGTGAAGGCTTACAGAACAAATAGTTTCTCATGAAACAGAAGTACACATGTTGTTTTATGACATTGGTTAACAACCCCACAACATATCAACTCTCTAACTTCTCAACCTTTTTTTTTTTTTTGGTGAAAATACACATAGCCAAAGATACACCATTTCAAAAATTTCTATATGCACAGTTCAGTGACATTGACTACGCTCTTCGAATTGAACGTCTATTCTTGTATCTGGAGCCCTGGTGGTGCAGTGGTTACGAGCCTGGCTGCTAACCAAAAAGTTTGGCAGTTCAAATCCACCAGCCACTCCTTGGAAACCCTATGGGGCAGTTCTACTCTGTCCTATAGGGTCGCTATGAGTCAGAAACAACTCGACGGCAACAGGTATATCATTTTCCTCTTAATCTGATTTTATACTTGTGGTTTTAAAGGATCTGAGTTAATAAAGCTGACTGAGAAGTGAAGCATGCAAATCAAATGTCAGCAAGGAAAGTCAATGATGGGAGGATGAGACTGCTTTAGTCACTGTTACAGCCTAGAGTACAGTGCCTTCCTCAACTATTCCAATCGACAGAGAATCCAAACAAAAAAGCATAAAGAATAGTTTACAAGTTAATTTGATTTTTAAAAGACAGTGATAACACAGTCTAAGTAACAAGAGCAGTGTACCTCAGACTGTCACCTAAAAGCCTACCGAGCCCCTTTCCCTTCAGTTTTACTGGGTCCTCTTCTGTCTCCATCTTTTTCCCTCCCTCTGTCGGTCTCAATTCACACATATTTTTATCCCACCACCTCTTACCTCCCTATGGTATTGCTCAGATCTAACTGATTCTCATGTGCCCAGCTCACACCTAGTTCCAAATAAAATGAATTTACAAAGTTGTGCTTTGCTCTACATATAAACAGTATAGAGTGTAAAGCCTAGCGGGGCAGAGACGACCAGTGAGTGAAAAAAAAAAAGGAATCATTTGTTTCCCACCCCCTCAGGTAAAGATAACTCTGAACTCCTACCAAAACCAAACCCACTGCCATCGAGTCAATTCCGACTCATAGCGAACCTGTAGGACAGAGTAGAACCGCCCTATAGGGTTTCCAAGGTTCTAATCTTCACAGAAGCAGAGTGCCACATCTCTCTGCCACGTAGTGGCTGGTGGGCTGAACCGCTAATCTTTTAGTTCAGAGTTGAGCACTTAACCACTGCACTACCAGGGCTCCTTGTACCTGAACTCCTACCACCTGTGTTTATTCCCTGCAGATGGTTCTCACAGTTTCTGTACTATAAACAAGTACACACGCCTACCCCCATCAAAGAGAGTAAGCTCCCACACAGGAGCCGCGTCATATACGTCTGTATTTACCACGAGCCTAAGGCAGTGCCTTAGACAGGATGGGGGAAAACATACACTCGCTGAATTATTGAATTACTGAATTAATGGGAACAAAAGCAGTTGAGGGTGGGAGAGGAGGAGAGGGAAAAAAAGCTGAGAGGACACAGCAACAGTAACGACAGGAGAAAAAAGAAAGAGAAGAATGGAGGGAAAAAACTTGTGAAGGCAACTGTTTTAGTTAGACTGAATAGGATTAATTTTTAAAAACTGAGAGTTGGAAAAAGCCATCAATACGCATCCAATATCACAGCTATCAGCATCGATCTTTCTTTAAACTGTCACCTTTACAATTATCTCCCAAAGCCTGATGTTCCACGCACGTGTGGCCGACATCGCAAGGAGGGCATCACTTCTCAGACATGCAGCTTCTGGGGCCCCATTTCTAACTACTGAATCAGAATCTGCATTTTAACAAGATCCTAGGTGACTTATGCAAGTTAAAGCTTGAGAAGCACCGCTGTACACCATTCAGGTCCTTTCTGCTGTGGTGAACCTGTAAAATTTTATTTAAATGGGCCAACAGCTGAGACTGTAAAAATCTTTGATTAGAGTGGAACCAATAATGGTAATGAAATTTGACCTGTACATATTTAATTTTAGATGAACTTATTAACCACAGAGTAATTTGGCCTGAGGGGTATATTACAAAACTTTGGAATTAGTCATAAAAATATATGATTTAAGGAAACTGAGGTCAATAACATACTCAAGAACAGACATCTCATCTTCCTCTTTTTGACCCTTCTTATCCAGTGCAAAGCTTGGAATGATGCATGTGGCAATGTTTCTGAATGAATAAAATAAGTAAATGAATTTTTACAAATCAGAGCTATTTACGCCGGAATATAACAACTGCATTTTAAAAGTGGACAAAGTAGAAATCCTGAGAGGTACAAAAGCAAGAGAGCTAAAAGTGCCATAACATTCGGTATTAGAACTCACGTTTAATTCCCTTTTTGTTCCTTTCATACGAGTGTGTTACGGAAGTCTAAGTATTATAGTAAAATGTTTGTGGGCTCTTAAAGAAGGACAGGGTCGGAGAATGCCGAGAACTAGGAAGCAGACGCTAGTAAGAGTAAACGAGCCTGGACAAAGCTATTTTTAAAGTCTAATATACTTTAGACAGGTCAATTAATTAATCAATTTAATCTGCCGAAAAATTAATCTGAAGGATTCTCAGAAAAAGAAACATGAGCTGCATGAAAATGTTACGAACCAAGGGGGACGGCACATAACTAACTTCAAACTCCACAGGCTTATTTCCCGTTGAAGTATGACCTCCTGGGACAAGTTTTACTGCAGTGTCCCTCGTGAGATGACTTCTGATTTTAAAAGAAGTCAAGGGCAAGTTGGAAATGGCAATTCTTAACTAAACATTAAAAAAAAAAAAAAAAAGCTAAAACTGCGCAGTTTCCCATTTCCGTTTGCAATCAGACGGCAGGCTTGCAGAGGTAACGCCACCTTCTGTAGGCAGAAATACAACGACCCAGTCACGTCCTCAAAACAAACCAACGCACAAATTTCCCAGCCGGATCCAGCTGTGCTGCACAGGCGCCAGGAATTTATTCTAAGACAGAGCAGACACATAAAAACGGCGAACGCAGTACTGGCCAGATTTCAATCACAAAAACGGGGTGCGCCCCAAGTTTTTTTTTAACTTTGAACAGGCAGCAGCCTTTGAGTGTTGGTGAGAAAACCCTTTTAAGCTGATCGTCCCTCGCCACCCCTGGGCGGGGTGGAAGGCGCGGGCAGGCACGGCGAGCTCGCTCGGCCGCTGCAGGCGCGGGCTCCGGCGGGAAGACGGGGCACGTCCCGAACCCGCGAGGCCAGGCCCGGGATGATTCACCAGCAACTGGGGGTTCACGCGCCTTGACCAGCGGGCGACGCCCAGCGCGCCGCACCGCGCGGATCCAGGCCGGCTGGCCCCGAGCCAGCCCCAGCGTGCCCCCGCTCCCCGAGAAGGAGCCGAGAGGAAGGAGGCCGAGCCAGGCGGCTGGAAGGCGCAACCTCTCCCTCTCCCCACCACGGCCGGTGCGACTCCCGGCCCGCATCCGCAGAAAGACTTCCTGGATAGCATCGGGCTGAGCTTACCTGACTGGCGCCCTCTGGACCACCGGCCTCCTTCACAGACCCGCTGGGGCTGCCGGCAGCTCGGCGTTGCTCAGTTCCCAGCAGCTGCCTGTCCACCTCTGTTAGCCTCCCAGGGAGTTGCCGGATCAACAGACCCGCAGCACCCCCACCTCGACGATACTGTCGGTGCCGCCGCCGACGCGCGTGCGCACGCCTAGCGCGCGGAGCACCCTGGGAGTCGTAGTTCGAGAGAGAAGGGCGAGGCTCGGCGCAGATCCTGGTCTTTACAATGGGCAGGACGTGGGAAGGGGTTGACGATAACAAGCCTTCCCCTGGCCTGGGACAATGCTCTCTGCTCGTGGAAATACTTACCTTTGACCTTACAGAAACTTTAAACAGCAACTGGAAGCTCTTTGGTATAGATTTTTTTACCTTGACCCGGCAGGGCTGGACAAGCAAGGCTTGTACTGTACCTTTGGCTGCTGATGACACCGAACCTTTTAAACGTGTCATGAAAGATTGACAGAAAATAAACAAATAAAGGCACAAGAAGGGCTTAAATCGGCAGATGTCACCTCAAGGGTGGGGTGACCCTAGTGGTTTCCTTGGGCATGCATCGATTGCCCCTAACTTCCCTGCAGTCTCAGCTCCATCCCATCTTTCCATTTTGGCTTCAAGCCCTATACCTGGCAGTGGGACTGGGCTGACGTGGGTAGAAGGAAAAAAAACAGAAAGAGGGGGCTGGGACAGATGAGTAGTCTGGAAGGGAAGACAAAGAGGGTGGGAATGCCTCGAAGGACAGTTGGTAGGCGGCTTATGAAATGGCTGCCGTTTGTGCATCCAAGGAAGAGGACTGAAGTGCCTGCTTCAGGTACGTTCCAGCTATACCCAGTATGGTGTAGGGCTGCCTAATGGTTACACCTCCGCCTGGCCATCTACTCCTTCCCCTCAGAACAGGGAGCACCCTAGGTAAACACCCTGGAATTTCACGCACCAGCAACTGGCACCCACTAATCCCATCAATGAAGATCACTAATGATTTGGGATTGTTAAAAAAAAAAAAAAAAAAAAAAAAGACTCCTAAATTGCAAATACTCTTATAAGACAGTCAACGTTAAATCTTGTGGTCATTAAGTCTATAACATCTTAGTGTGAATCAGTATCTTGAATATTTGTGGAATAAACAGTTTGCCAAGAGAAACTTCTCTAGAATTCAGGTACAATTAATATTTATTGAGTACTTAGTACACACCAAACACTGTGCTAGCATTTCACTTATCTCATTCAATCCTCAAAATAACTCTACAGGGAATATATTAGCATCCTCCATTTCTACAGATGAGAAAACCTAGACTCAGAGAAGTTAATTTGTACAAGATCACCTACCGGTAAGTTGGAGATCCAGAAATGAAATCCACGTATCCTGAGTCAAATTCTACAGCGCTTTCCACTGCTGATTAGACTGATATGTCTCCTAAATCTCATCAAGTTCTTTAAAGTAAGACAATCTGTTACCATGTCCAAGATATATGAAAAGAATTCTCTAACACAGCCCAGGGGAGATGGTACTCTGACTGGATGAGATTAATATTTTGATTCACTCGATAGTTTTGGTTCTCATTTTAGGTAATATATAGGTGTTTGGCTTACCAGTAAGTATCTTGTGAATTTTGGCTATACTTCTGGGGCATTACCCCAGGGGGAACTGACAAAATGGAATTCCTGAACACGCGAGCAGAAAACCAGACTTTAGATCCATGGCCATCCAGATATGGTTTATTTTAAGAATGACTTTCCTCTGACATATGGCTGCTTTTGCTTTGCTCTTTTAGGCTCCATCACCACCATTAGTCACCCGGGAGTCCATGCCAACTTATGACAACCCCATGTGTGCACTCCATAGGGTTTTCAATGGCTGATTTTTTGGAAGTAGATTGCCAGGCTTTTCTTCTAAGGCACCTTTGGGTGGACTTGAACCTCTACCTTTCAGTTAGCAGCTGAGCATGTTAACCATTGCACCACCCAGGGACTCCTCTTTTAGGCAGAGAGGGCTTTTAGTTCAGTGTCTGGTTGATTTAATCTGTGATACTTTTCTTCCCTGAATTTCCAACATGGGGCATTAGGCATAGATTTCATGTATTTTCTTTCTTAGCTCTTAATTTTAAGTTTATCCTCACAAATGTTTGCATCTTATCTTAGTTCCTTTTTCTTAAATAAAGTGATCTGGTGATGATTTTTTTTCCTTCTTTCTTCAGACAAATGTTACTGTATTGTAATCACAGGGCTCACAAACACAAATCTCCTAAACCCATATCTATTAAATACCACATAAGGGACCAGAGGAATTAGGACAAACATCCTAATATTGTTAGATAGAACTGTTAGGAAATAGAGCCTTTCCGGCTGCTTCCAGGCCTCTGGCAATCTAGTCTCTATACCAGCAGCCAGAATGGTCTTCTAAAAACAAATTCAAATCACTCATGCTTCCCATCACACTTAGAGTCAGATCCAAAGTTATCACCCCTACATGTCTTTAGATGATTGTTTTATTTCCTACCACACTCTTTCATTCTGCTCTAGTCCCACGGGCCTCCTTGTGATTTCTCGGTTATGCCAAGTGTACCCCCACCCCAGGGCTTTGGCACTACACAGAAGAATGCTTTTCCTCCCAGGTACTCATGGCCCAAGCTCTCATTTTAGGGAGGATTCTGCTCAAATGTCGCCTCTGAAAGGCCTTGTCTGATCACCTTACTGGTATTCTTCCCTTTCCTTACTTTGTAGCATTTATCACGACCTAACACCACATTGCTTTTTTACTTAGTGTAAGCTCAATGAGGACTTTGCTTTTTTTTTTTTTAACCTCTGTATCTCTAGCATCTAGAACAGTGCCACCTAATACACAGTAGCTATTACATAAATATTTGTATATAAATGCATGTTGGATCCTTCCCTCCCCCTCCTACTCTTATCTTGGGGCACAGAACCAGAAGGGTTCAGCTATAAATGCCAGCTAGTGATCCAATGCCCATATAAAACCAGCTGTGAGAGGGCTGGCTACATGGGAGAACAAGACCCAGTGAAACTAATTTTGAAATGGAGACAGAGCTCTCTATGGGCTGTAGTTATTAGCGTATAGTTAGCAAAACACAATTCTTGAAGAGGAAAAAATTAAAAAAGAATGCTAAAAATTACATTTACATAAATAAGTGAAATACTGATTAGACTGAAATATTATTCCCAAGTATTCGCTCTCCTCCTCCCTGTGAGAGGAGCAGAAGCCCAAGACATTGCTGTCTGACCTGCAGTGCCTCCCTGTAGATGTTTCTAAGCTTGGCCATCATCTGGTGATGGATTTTTCCTTCCTTCTTCAGTTAAATGCTATCACATTGTAATCACAAGGCTCACAAACATGAATCTTGCTTTGTCCACTGAAATGTGAGTAGAAGTGACAATACGACAATTCTGAGTGTAAGCTTGAAGAATCATTGCTATTTTCTGCTAGTATGCTTGCTCTTCCTTCTACCAAGAGAATGGTGTATGCTAATACAGGCTGTTCTTTCTGCCTGGGTCTTAGAATGAGAAATCACACGGATCAGCCAACCACAGGAGCTGGCTTGTAATGTGAGCAAGAAGTAAACTGAGGTTTAGGTGTGCTTGTTACCACAGACTTAACTAGAACAAGCTGACTACCATAGTCCTCTGAAAGGACTCACTGAAAACGGTCCTCTGAGGTGGAAGTGGTATGGCATCTCTTTGTCTTTGATCCTACCTCAAGTAATGAAAAAGAGTTGAAGCTGAACATGCTAAAGAGAGCAAGTCTGAGACTGTTAGATAAAATGTTTGGATAAGGGGCTGAGTAAGGTTCCTGTTAGTTTTCAGGGTTTGGTTAGACCGAAAGTGATTGATAAAATGAAACTCCAGCTCTACTTAATGTATTACAAGTCCTAATTGGTGTTATCTTCAAGCTTCCAGCCAAGGTAATTCATAGAGTGTGTTACACTGAATCACCATATGCAAATGAATGCCAGCAGCAATTCTCTTGTTATTAAAGGGTTACTTTAGTAAATAGCTTCCTTGGTGTATGTCTTAGTTATCTAGTGCTGCTCTAACAGAAATACCAAAAGTGGATGGCTTTAACAAACAGAACTTTATTCTCTCACAGTTTAGGAGGCTAGAAGTCTGAATTCAGGGTACCAGCTCTAGGGGAAGGCTTTCTCTCTCTGTCGGCTCTGGGGAAGGTCCTTGTCATCAATCTTCCCTTGGGTCTAGGAGTTTCTCAGTGCAGGGACACCAGATCCAAAGGACACACTCTGCTCCTGACTTTTCTTTCTTGGTGGTATGAGGTCCTTCTCCTCTCTGTTTGCTTCTCTTTTATATCTCAAAAGAGATTGACTCAAGATACAATACAATCCTGTAGATTGTGTCCTGCCTCATTAACATAACTGCCTCTAATCCTGCCTCAGTAACATCATAGAGGTTAGAATTTAAAACACATAGGATAATTATATCAGATCACAAAATGCAGGACAACCACACAATACTGAGAATCATGGCCTAGCCAAGTTGACACACATTTTGGGGGGACACAATTCAATCCATAACAGTATACTTAAGCATTTTTTAAAAAACATGTATTTTATAGGGGAGTTCAGAAAATTTTAAGACATAAACTGGGAACTGAAAGGTGAGAATTTCATTCTGGGAGCTTGGAGTTGGTTAAAGCAGTGGAAGGTAGGAATCAGAGCAGACAAAATACCATGACTAGAGGCTCATGATCTTATAGAAGGGATTCAAGCAAACTCCTTGGACTGAAATGCCCTTCCCTATCAACCCATCTCTGCCCGTTAGAAGCCTCCTCATGTTTCACTGTCTACCTCAAATACCTGTTCCTCATTCACACTTCCCTAATGCCATCAGCTGGAATTAATTTGGCCTTTCCTCGTATTTTCATACCACATTATGCCTCTGTTGGAGGTGCACTGTATACACATTTCAGCAAAATTCCAAATGGCTGAGAGTTAAAATCACTTTTCAGCTGAAGCCAAGGTTAATGATAAATATCACCATCAAAGAATAAACTTCTGGAATACATAAATAAATCTGAAATTTTATCCAAATTTTTAAATTGTTATTTTAATAATATTATTAAGAATTTAGTGCTAACATTTAACATTAC